ATTTATATGAGATCTTCGGCTCAAGCCAAATGGTAAATAAAACGGGAAATGGACAGACCTTTTTAGCTACCGCTTCTTGTCCAACAAATAAGAAATGAGCATAAATTCTTTGTACCACCAATGCAATCTGTTTACTTACAGCGATAACCCATTGATGTGAATGATCAAAATGGAAAGAATAACTTATTAATTTTGTTTATTCATTTATTGACTTATTGTTCCATTTCTTTATGATGTAATTACATTTGTATTTGACAGGCTGATTTCGACTTATGTTCTGATTGCTTTAACAACCGGGAGTTTGGCTCTGGCATGTCATCTTCGGATTTTATTCTCATGGAACCTGGTGAGGCCTCTGGTCTTAGTGGTGGCAAGTGGACAGATCAGGAAACCCTCCTCCTCCTCGAGGCACTTGAACTTTATAAAGAAAACTGGAATGAGAATGCGGAGCATGTCGCTATGAAAACTAAAGCACAATGCATACTACACTTAGTTCAAGTACCAATTGAGGATGTATTCTTTAATAGCGATGATAACAGAGACATCAATTCAAAAGAAACTGCTGGACCAGCTGGCGATAGTGATGAAACATCTGTCCCTAAAGTTGTCCTGGAAACAACAGAGAGTAAGACTGCTCCTCAGGAGGATCAGTCCCAGACTACACCAATGGAGACTTCAAAACCTGAAGATGGAAATGAAGTGAGAGCTAGCGAGGAAACGTCAAAACCTGAAACTGTAACTTATGTAACTGGTGGTCAAGAAACGTCAAAGCCAGAAGAAACGAACTTGGCAATAAAGGAAAAGACAGCAGAAAATTGTGCACTTGTGGCACTAAGGGAGGCATTTGAAGCTATTTTTTTTTATAGAAGTTGGAGGTCTCATTAAAAACTCCCTTCATATTCTCTCACATACTTAAAAGTATGTTGAAGAACATTAGAAGGAAGAAAAGAGTGTCTCATATTTTATTAAATAGAAGACCAAGTACATATGGTAACATCAAACCCTCATAACTGGAATAAACATTATTACAACCCATAACACCTAAAAATCTTTCATCTTCAAACAAAAACCCCCTAAGACATAATCCTATTTCAAGAATACACCTCAAGATGAAAGATAACATATCAAAATAAAAATCAACAATTACAACCACAAACTAATAAAACATCTATGAAAATTGTTGCCGAACAATCACGATCCAATTGGAGGAACAAGTTCTAATGAAATATCGCAATTTTCAGAGATCCAAGAATTAGGTTTGAAGGAAGGATCAATTTCATGTACCAAGATTTTAAATAAATTAACACTGACCTTCAATTCCAACATCTCATCAATTTTCCCATGAACATTTGTGAGTATTTGAATTTTAGCCCGATCAAAGGACGATGGAAACTCACAACTGTTGTCAATTGCTATTAACTTGTCCCAGTTAGTTGCGATGTTTTTGAAAGTATCCCAATTCCAAGTGTGAAAAAGAATACCTGCACAAACTAACCACACGCGCCGGCACTCCACCACAAGGCTCTTTGACCAAGATTCCACTCTGGAAAACCATTCTGCAAGAGTCTCTAGCTTATCATCCTTCACTCTTCTCAATGAATCAGAGTCTTCATAAACCATTAGAACTACATTTCCAGCAGCTCTCATTAGCGTGAAACTAGCTAGTCCTTTGGCTTGTATTTGGTTAGCAAGATTACCAATTTTGATAAAATTCTTGCACTACCCCATAAGACAATTACTTAACACGTGAAGTTTGTCTTCGTCCACAACACCCTCGACTTCACAATGTTTAATCCTCGGAAAATCTTTCATCCCAGACTTACGTTGAACAAACCGTCGAGGACTTTCGCCAGTAAGACTGTCGGGGTTTATATTTAGCCAAAGAGACTTTAATTTTGTTGCCGTAAATATGAACGCCATTCATGTTTGATATCGCTTTCCTTGTTTCTTCAATAGTAGCAAAGCGAATGAACCCAAAGCGACTTCCTTTCGAATTCCTTTTGTTAAGAATGAATGCATCAATAACATGACCGTAAGTGCAAAATAAAGATCCGAGTCTATTCTAATGGATCTTCTCCGGTAGGTTCTCAATGAATAACGAGATGCATCCACTTTTACAGCCATTACTACCATTTGTGTGACCTTCCTTCCACCTATTTTGAAATCCGTTTCTTCTCCTTCTCGCTACTTCAGAAGATTTTTCATTGGAGTACCCCTTCGTGGTGATCTCCTTGATTCCATGGTGATCAACATCAGCTTCAGAAAGGGCTGGAGTTGCCTCTGCTGAAGGAAACTTCTCAGTCTTAAAATTCCCACCTTGTGAAGGAGATCTTCCATTGTCGTCAATCCTTACAACAGGTGTTTGACAGTCTAAAGTTACTTTAGCAAAGCAATTTTTCAAACGTCTGGATGATAAAGGACTTTAACCCGACCTCGTTGAATTTACTCTTAAATTTTGCTGATTTTGGTGCGTAGGAGACTGACTGTAGGTAGTGCCGTCGGCCTCAACTGTCCAAGGCCAAGGCGGCTAGTACATCGTTCATATTAGAACGTGCGGAAAGATGGAAATTACTGAATTGCCTCAATCCGACCATCATACGTCTGGTGAAGGCTCGCTTGTTCCATTTCCGAAACTTTGTCCTCTCCTATTCATTCCCCCTCTCACGTTTTTCCTTGCTGGAGTAGGAAAAAGTGGTTGCGTCGACGGGTCCAAAGAAAGTACTAGTACGGTTCACAGCGGCTGCACCTACCACGGCTGTTGCAGCTAACCCACTAGTTCGCCTGTGTTGAGACGGGCGTATGGGTTCCATGGTGAGATCTGGGTAGCTGGAATAAGAGTTACGGTAAAAAAAAAAAAGTTCACAGCGGCTGCACCTACCACGGCTGTTGCAGCTAACCCACTAGTTCGCCTGTGTTGAGACGGGCGTATGGGTTCCATGGTGAGATCTGGGTAGCTGGAATAAGGAGTTACGGTAAAAAAAAAAGAAAGTTTGGAGGATAGGGTAATTTCTTGCCGAACCAGTTCAGTGAAAATAGAACCGATTCTCGACACTATGGAAGGGGGGTTTTGGTCGCGAGAAGAAGCTGAGTCCGGTGGTGAGGCGGTGTCGACCACGAGCGGCGGGAAGTGGCGTAAATCTGCGGTGAACTTCGTGAAGATCTGCGTCGATTGAATGTCTCAATTGCAAATCTAAGGCCAGATTTGGAATCACTGTGGGCCGGCAATCTTCCCAGGAAAAAACAGCTTCAAACGGTGGTCGGAGTATGGCGGTGGACGGCTGACGGCAGCAGCAAACGGCGGTCGACGGCAGCAGCATACGGCGGTTGGCGGCAGCGGACAACGGGTGGATGACGGTGGCGAAAATAATTCAAAAACGCCTGGGCTATGGGCTCTAGAGAGAAGCGGGACCTTCTCTCACATCTATTTCCGCTTTTAAAACTATATAGACATTCAAAAAGCACAAATAGAACACTGTCAATAAGCAATGGCATTTGAAGCTATTGGTTATAATTTAACGTCTGAAAGCTCACACTCATTTGCTGATGTAGGAAATCCTGTCTTGGCATTGGTAATTTGAATGTGTAAGTATTTAATTTAGGTTTTGTCAATTGATGTATATGAAGGGAAAACTAGTTCATTTAACTATCTGAATTTATCTAATTTTTACGTGGCTTCTGAAATAGTTTTCTTATCCTAAATTTTATCTGGGACTATTTTGTTTCTGCTTTTAGAATAACTTTAGAGCCTGTTTCCCAACCTCCAATGTATAAGATATGGTGGCTTGCTTTGTAATCAAATGGATGATCAAACCTCAAAATGCTGTCCTATTGCAGTTTGCTTTTATGCCATCAACAATTGTTTTTCATGGTCCTTTTTTTGGTCCTTTTAAATGATTGCAATGCCAGTCTTTTATAATCTATCATGTGCTCTGTACTTGTTTATGAAACAATCCTAAGCACATCTGTATAAAGGTTTGTTTCATTAATCTTTATAACTTAACCACATGATCTGAGAGGTAGATTAACCTATGTCAAGCTTATATTTCCTTTATCAAGTTTTGAACATTATCTGATGTTAGAGACACACAGTGTTGTCAATGATACGGGTAATTGGGATGCTCAAAATGTGAAAAACTCGGAAGACAAAAGCCTCTAGGGGGATCAGAAAAGTTCATTAAGAAACCATGGTTATATCTGATATAGAGAAAAGGGAACTCCAAACCCAAAGATTTACGACATTTATAACAACAAAAACAGATCTGTCTGTCCACAAAATAGAATACACAGGGTTATATCTGATTTTAAGATGCCCTAAGAATTTGGTACGGCTATGGTGTTTAATTTTCATCACCTAAAATTCATCATCCAGGTCCCACAGTATCAACTACCAGAAGGAATAATTCAATGATAGACACAGGCTCGACTGTTTCGACTAGAATAGGATCGAAGGGAGAACAATAACCATCTGCTCCTTCGTCCTATGATCATGCGATGTCAGTCGATCCCGTAATTTAGGCAGCAGTAACTGGATTACTCAAAGATTAATCAATGGTGTGCTGGAATTAGCAAAAGGTTGATCACAAATGAATTTGCTACGAGTTCGGTTTGAGTAAATTCCCAAGCTCTTAAAAACACCCATATGATTAGCAACGCTAATGCTAACGTGAACTGCAACTATAAAGGGTACTCACCTGATAAATCTCGTGAGAGATGAACATAGTATTAAGAATGGAAAGAGAAAAAAATCTATTCACAAGTCATATGAATAGAGTCTGATTGGCTCCGGTGGAGGAAACATTGTCCTAGCTAGAAGGTCGAATTGAACTACCTGTAACAGTTGGGGGTACGTATTGGTTCGAAGGTGTAGGAGTCATGGGTCTCAACATTGGTGGTCTTGGGGCTTTAATGCTCATAGGAGGCCTTGCAAATGAATTCGCAAAGCTTGTTACAACTCTGTTTCTAGCATTTGGTGGTGTCATTGCTCTAGAGGAGGAAGCTGGCAAGCCCAGTTGAGCGGCAATTATCTGTGACCGCTCAAGGAAAAGCCTCTGCCTTGACCTGTCCAGTTGCTCCTTCACCCTCATCACAACTCCCTCCATCTCATTGAAGAATGCTAATTTGGCTTCCATCTTAAATAACTGCATTGAATTAAAGCCCGAGAAAAACTTAGGTTTTGCTCCAGTTGGAATGTTGGATATTTATGGGAAAAAGAGATTGCATGTATTTTGCAACTAACAAACCTGTTTTTCTATTAATGATGCAGCAAGCTTTCGTATTTAGTCCTCTTCCTGATCTGCTAGAAGTTTCGCCTTCACTGCTGCTGCTGAGAGTGCCGTAACTGCAGCACGCTTTACTTTATCAGTGCTACGATTATCTTCTATGTCCGTTGAGTCACAGTTCAGGTTTTTACCTTCTTTAATGTTGTCTGCAAAAGACAATAAGATATTGAGAAGCGTTTTGCAGTAGAGTTGGTTTTGTAAACAAAATATTCATACAAGAAAAGAGAGAAACCCGTGGTTACTCCATTTTCATTTCCAGAATTTAAGGTGACTGGTAGGTGAGGCTCAATCTTTTCTGAAGGTTGTGGAACAGATGCCATTTCATCAACATCATTTGATGCCCTCATCAGGCTCAATAGATTTTCTACCAGGACTTGGTTTAATAGGTTTTTGCTCATTCTTCGAGTCGGATAGAGAAGAGGAAGCAGTCTCTAGATTTTCTGATGCATTTGCTGGTTTAGATTCTCCCGCAGGAATCCATGCTGCTGCATCACAATGCTCGTTCTTTTTCATTGCAACCGAATCAGATATATCTACTTCCTCCACTGCTTCTGGAGGCTCAGAAGGCTCTTTCATTGTTATATCTGCAGCAAAGAATAATACATTGACCTTTACCAAAACATTTTCCATTACTCACACTGGATAGATCACAGATCGATCAGTCAACTATATGGTTATTCCTGTTTCCTTCAAAGGCTTGTTAGTAATCATTTTATATATAGAAAATGACATAATATTAATTGAATCTCCTAAGTCACACATTGCATGTTTAATTTTAAAATACCTATTTTGCAAGGTATAGCGAACATACCTTGATCCTTCATCTTTGGTGGGAGCTTTCATTGAAAAATTACAGAGACATGTTCTCCCAAATTTACCTTTTCGTGCCCCATTAATTTCCTCTTTGTAGTGCAAAGTTCTTTTAAGAATTGAGCATACCTTGGTACTTGTCGAATTACTTCAAGAAGAGGTATGTTGACCTGAACTTTTTGGAACACCTCTAAGATCTCATTTTCTTCAGCTCTTTTATCATGCTTCATCAACCTTGATGGGAAGGGTGGTGAAGTGATTTCATGAGAAGAAAGAGAAGGATGTGAGTCAGATGTACCTTGTATTTCTAAAGGTGGCATGTCCTCTTGTTCTTCCTGATGTGAGACTTTTTTTTGCTAGAACTTCGTGTGAGATAACTTTTCCACTTTGGAGTGTGATGACACTAACATTTTTTTCTCGGATTTAACTCCGTTTGAGCAGGTAGTCTTCCTTGTGATTTCAATTTTCCCATAGTTTGAGCTAGTCGGCTTACTTGGTTATCTAACTCTTGAAGATGTGTTTCGGTTTGGCTTTGGGATTTTTCTTGGGATGCAATGAACTTTTCTTGTGAAATTGCTAACTTCCCTATGAATTCCTCCAATGATGGGTTTTACGTTTGCTGTTGAGGAGGATAAGTTGGTATTTGATTTGCCGCATAGTTGAAGTTTGGATTGTCTAGCTTTGTGCATATCTCACATGCTCTTGTTGCTCCAGATTTTCCTGCAACAAGTGAATTAACTAATTCAGTTAATTTATCTAACTTATTTTTCAAGGGAAAATATACTTATCTCGTGAACCCATCGGCTGGGTTCACTTGAAAACTGTTGAGAGTTGCCTCCCATGATTGAAATCAATTCCCTTGCTGTTGTTGGGGTCATGTTGACTAATGCTCCTCCACTGGCGGCATCCACCATTTTCATCTCCATTGGTAAAAGGCATTCATAAAAGGATTGAAGTAACGTTTGCTCACTTAATCCTTGTTGCGGACAATGTGCGCAAAGCTTTTTAAATCACTCCCAATAGTCATAAAGACTTTCTTCGTTTGCTGAATGGAAAGAATGCTCCTTCACAACTCGCTTACTTTAGCCGCTGGAAAGAACTTGACAAGAAAATTTCGATTCATGTCAGCCCATGAATTAACTGAATTTGGAGGTAAATAAAATAACCAATCTTTAGCCAAGTCGACTAAAGAAAAAGGGAAAGCTCTCAATTTAATTTGATCATCGGTAACTCCCTGTGGTTTCATGCTAGTGCAAGCCATGTTGAATTCCAACAAGTGTTTGTGCGGATCTTCAGTGGGAAAGCCGTGGAAGGTGGGAAGAAGATGAATGAGTCCCATCTTTAATTGAAACGGAGTCCTGCAACTAGAAAAATTAATGCATAATGGCGTCTGAGTTGGGAAGAAGATGAATGAGTCCCATCTTTAATTGAAACGGAGTCCTGCAACTAGAAAAATTAATGCATAATGGCGTCTGAGTGACAGGTGTTGTGACTAGTTCTCGAATCGTTTGTTCTTTTGCCATCGGAATGTTGTATGTGTCTGCTTCGATCTCCAGATCTAGATCTACTAATTCACATGGTTTTCTTCTGGTCATAAATAAAACACTAGAAAAATAAATCAGTACTTGCCATTAGTCCCCGACAACGACACCAATTTGATAACCGTCGTTTTGCTATCAAAATAATTTCTGACCTCTTAATAAATAAAAAGGAAAAGATAGTATAGAGAAGCAGAGTCAATCCATAGGGACTATGGTGTTTCTAACTTAATAAAACTCTTTCTTGATTTTAGAAGAAGAATTCCATATGAAGTTGAAAAGATATATTAAAATAAAATAAATAAAAAGGAAAAATAATATAATAATAAATATTAATAGTAATAACTATAAAAGGGGGATTTTTAAAAGTTGTTTTTAAAATAATAATAAGAATTAAATAAAAGAAAAATAATTAAATAAACAAATTAAAGAGATTGAGATAAAGAGAAACTTATTGTGAAAGCAGCCTCAGACTTCAACTTCACCTCAAATTCCTCGGATCATCGAAGTATATTTTTACTTCAAGATTCACGTCGGTTACTGCAAGAACAATTCTTCGTTGCCAACTCGGATTGTGTCGTTTCAATAACAACTGATTCCGATCTCAGTTTCCTCTTAGCAAACAATTTTGCTAAGTGTGTTCTCGGGAAGTTGAACATGCTTCAATAAGCAAATCATTCTTCAAACGTTAACCATAACAATATCCAGACCAATGTCGAAATCGTTTTGACCTGAAAAGTAAGCTCATAAAACAGAGAGAAAATCCGAAGCGATTTAAGTACCTTACAATTCTCACGTTTGGAATTGAGCCTTCGCTTTAGCCTTTGGCTTGAAAGAAAATTGGCTAAGCATAACCAAAGTGATACTTAGCATAATAGAAAAGTATGCGAAAAATAGAGAGAAAAGGAAGATTTTATTCTCAAATGAGAGAGATATGTTTCTAGGCTCACCCTTAGAGGGTATTTATAGCCTTAAAATTCCTAAAATTAAGCTAAAACATCTTAAATCCTAATTAAAACACTTAAAACTATTTAAACTAAAATACCTAAGAAAATAATATAATATTCTAAATCCTAATTAAAACACTAAAACCTATTTCAACTAAAATACCTAAAACAAAGATAAAATATAAAAATAATATCCTAAAACTTAATTAAAAATATTAAAAACCAATTTAAACTAAAATACAAAGATAAAATATAATGTTTAAATATTATCCTAAACTTGAGTTTAATTCAAATCCAAATTCCAGCCAACTTTGATTCCGAAAATAAAAAACTGCAGAATTGCGTCCTTTTTGTGTAATTTCCAGAATCTTACATCCTGTACAGAAAATAAATTAAAATAAACAAATAAGCCACAAAAATCAATGACTAAAGAGTATTTTAAAAGTAAAATATTAACTAAAATAAACACTTATCAACGATCGATTTTCTAACAGAAAATGACGAGTTTAGAATATATTAATAGTCGGGTAAACATTTTATAACTTTTACTAGTAGAGGGACTCAACAAAACAATGGTCAATGGTTGATCTATTATGTAGCTTTTGTAGTCGATGACTCAATAAAACAACATCTTATAGCAGGGGACAATTTGTGTATTTTACCCATATTTATAACTATTTCCTCTTTATAAATTGAGAATATATATTATATATAGCTTATAGTGGAAGAAATTTTTATACAAAAATGGGCATGTAATATGCGTCTTTCAACTTTCTCCTCCTCCTACTGGTCATGGTAATATCGCCAAACTCTCCAAATTCAAATTCAAATTTTAATTTTCTAATCAGAGCTTAATCGATACGTGAAAATTTGTAGGCTATAAGATCTTTTGTTTAGAACTTTGTTACAGGATTAAACCTTTTTGCAGTACGAGGATGGAAGGGTAGATTCATTATCTCACATGGATCAATCAGTGATGGTGTTTTTCACCTTGAAAGATCTTGAAGTCAGGAACTCGATATCCATATATTTTCGTAAGAAAGTCTCATCGACATCGCCTCTATTTTTGCCTCGGGACGAAGCCGAAGCCATTCCTTTCTCATTAACAGAACTCCCTAATCTGTTTCGGTTCTTCTCTTTCTCGCAAAACTCTCCCCAGGCCAAAGCAATGGAAGCTACACTTCGAGAATGCGAAACTCCGGCAATCAAAGGGGAGATCAAATTCTGCGCTACGTCGATAGCATCGATGCTTGATTTCGCTATAAGTATCATCGGATCGAACTCCGATATCAAAATCTTCGCAACCGAAATCATATGAAGTCGTGCACCCTTTTCCAAAACTATACTATACTAAAAGAACCGGATGAGATACTGGCTTCGAGGATGATGGCTTGTCACACGATGCCCTACCCTTATGCTGTACTGTATTGCCATACCCAAGGGACTGAAAACAGTGTTCAAGGTATTATTGGGTGGTGATAACGGAGATCGGGTGAAGGCAGTGACCGTTTGTCATATGGATACTTCGCAATGGAAACACGACCATGCGTCGTTCCGTGTGCTGGGGATCGAGCCCGGAACGCCCGGTGTTTGCCATTTCTTCCCGGCAGACAATTTTATTCTGGTCCCAGATTATTGAATTTGTAATAAGTGTCTTTGTCATGATACTTTGGTTGTACTAGATGATACTTGAGCTCCGAGACCTCGGTTAACCTGAGTCCCAAGACTTGCACAATAAATGTTACGATGCAGTATATATTGCATTGTAACATTCAGTGCGTCAGTGTTATAAAAATATTTTATGTTCGATTCGATGTTTACATTTACATAAAGCAAATTTGATATTTTTTTCCAAATTATTTGAGAATCCATTTTAATTTCTGCTAATAATAGGATTCATAGAACATTTCATAGGAAAACACACCTTTTACAATAGCATAGACATTCTAAGCACACATAAGCATCATAT